TAAAGTGCTGTCCGTTGTTGAAAATGGTGGCGGCTTTGGGGTTACGGGCGTCACAGGCCATGTCGTCGGCGACCATCAAAATGATACGACTGTCAGGAATGCCCAGTCGTTTGACACTCCGATAAATGGACAAAACGTTGGCCACGTGTCGGTAATTGAACCAATATCTCGACGCACAGACCAGAACCGCCCAATTGTTTGTATGAGAACCGGTGCTCAGGAATGACTCCACCTTATCGTTCACCGCAGATGGACTGTCACCGCAAACCAGTTCCAGTGATGACCATAACGCCAATAGTAATATCACTGATAGTAGTGGACTCTTCGCGGACATTGCGCTCAATGAGTGAGTGTATGAAGCGATGGATCAGTTGTTGTGGTGATAATCACAGCCACAGGAATGGGTGGATATGGAGGCCAACAGCGACGGCAGGAATGGTATGGTATGAGCGGATGCGGTGGTGGAGGAGGAATGGTATGATATGGTGGGCTATAGTAAGTGGCAAATCATTGTCTCGATTGTCGATCACTTCAATTGATTCGCCGAAAAACACAAAACTCTTTCACTGTTTTTGTATTGCATTCAAAAAGCAATGGTTTTTCTCCAGTAATTCACACGTTATTTATGGACAAAGTTTTGGTCACAAAACTCACAACTCATTCATTGTTTGGGTTTTTTTCTGGTGATAATTGAGTGACAAATTGTCTGCCATTTAACACATTAACTGCTGAAGACATTGCCATTGCGTTCCCTCCCGAAGAATGGACTCGAAGATAATGCCGTCGCAGATGAGAGGTATTTGTTGATGAAATGGTTAATTAGGTCTTTGGGTGTCATTTATACCACAAATTGAGTGTCAAATGAGTGGCGATTGTAGTGTTGTTGCGGTGGAGGACAACACAACCGACACCTCTTCAGCCGATACGATGGCATCGCTCGTGAAGTCTTCGTGCGTTCGCTGGGCTTTGAATGCTTCCAAATGGCGGCCGACTCGAGAGGAGTGGCTTTTGGCCACACGTTTGATCCAAAAGGAAGAGATGTCACGAATCAATCGGTTTGTGTTCAAAACGGACGCCAAACTGGCGCTCGTCGGGCGACTACTTATGCGATCGGGTGTTAGCAAACGGTTCCCATCGGTTCCGTACAAAGACATACTCTTTGACCGGACGGACAAAGGAAAGCCATACTTAGTGTTGCCGACCAGTGATGAGGTGTCGGCGAAACCGTTTGACTTGAATATTAGCCATTCGGGCGACTATTGTGTGATGGGTTCGGTCGGCGCCGACAAAGTGGGCGTCGATGTCATGCGAATTGAATACTCGGGTCAACGCAACGACAGACCGGTCGACGACTTTTTTCGCCTAATGAATCGGCAGTTCTCTGACAGCGAGTGGCGATTCATAAACACCGGCGCCGACGATAAGCAAAGAATCTTTCGTTTTATCCGTTTGTGGACATTGAAGGAGAGTTTCGTGAAGGCAG